CTGAGCGCCGTAAGCGCTGCGATGAGCCTCTCGCTCCTCTTTACGCCAGAAATCAAGACCTGACGCTTCGGGGAGGGGGGTGGTTTCCAAGTGGCCTCGTAAACGTGTCAAAAACGTGTCCTGCCATCTTTAACCATCAACACTGTCACCGCGTTGCTTGTTTTTCCCCTTGCAAGACTGTTTAACCATGAAGCAAAAGCCTCAGGCAGATGTGTAGCGACCGCCTGGGTTTCTCTAGCACTGCTCTCTGCTGTTGTTAATTAACGTGATTTTTGTCTATAGCTTACCTATCTGACAGACGTTCATGTATACGGCTTTATTCAGCAGCGTTTTTGATGCTGCCTCATTAAGGAGTGGGGGTGACCAAAAAGCAGTGTAGTTTTTGAAAAGCAAACCTCTGTATAAAAAGCCCCTACCCCGTGCGGAGCGGTCGTGCCTCCGGAGCAACCGGATCCAAGGGGAAGGAGACGGGGGCCAGGTTTCCGTTTGCACCAACCGCCTCCAGGTCACTCTGGCAGCGCGCACTGGCACCCATGCGAAGCAGAATCCGGCCCGATGTGGATTTGCAAGCAATTTTCTGTCTCACAACATCTGTCTGGAACCAGTAATCTCAAGAACCCCCCGAAATATGCATTGGAATAGATTTTTTCCCCCCTATTTCTCTAACTGAAGAGTGAAACGGGACAGTAGCTGAGCCCTAAAAACAGAGCAGGGAGCAATTATTCGTAGAAACAAATCCTGCGGAAAATGCTTTTTGTCTCCTTGGAAAAAAGGCATGTTCCTTCATCATGCAGAAAAGAAGATTGCGCATGTTTTAATTAGATCCGTTGAAAGGTTGGGAAAAAGAGACCCTGCTTTGCTGTCAAGCTCCTTAGTGAAGAAAAGTTCTCAAAGTTCAGGAACCTGGAGAGAGCTCTCAATCTCCGAGGCCAAAAATAGCTCATCCCTTAAGAAAATGCCATGGATTTTTTTCTCCCCCCCCTTTTTTTTTGATCACTGCCTCAGAGGACGTCAGGTCATCAGAATATGGAATTTGAACAAGGAAACTGGAAATCTTTTTAACTCGCCAGACTTCAACATCTCTTTGCTGTTAACTGGACACGGGGCAGTCCCTGGGGGGCCGCCGTTGTGCTCGTGTTTGCACGAAGCAGAGCACCTTGATGAAATACATTTCGACAAGACGTTCAGAGCTACAGCTGGTGATGCAGATCTGAGCAGGAGATTTCTATGCCTCCTTTTCAGTAGTTAGTTTTAATGTTTCTCCGCGTTGCCTTTATCATTATTATTTTGGTTCTCATCTGTTTTGCTCCAGTGCATACATACATACCAAGCAAAATTTCCAGGCCAGATGCTTTGCTGGTGTACAGTTATTGCAGCTGGGGCAATTTTAGTGCAACAGTACCGATTTACATCCGACCCCAGTACTTCCCACCTGCTGTTCCTGCT